TTTATGCCTTAATACACTATCATGTTTTTCACGTTTTATGCCATGCTATACTATGACGTTTTTTGACATTTTTATGCCATACTATATTATGATGTTTTTGACGTCTTTAAGCCTTACTATACTTTGTCCTTTTATCCCTTACTATACTCCGATGTTTTTATGAAATTTTATGCCTTAATACACTATCATGTTTTTCACGTTTTATGCCATGCTATACTATGACGTTTTTTGACATTTTTATGCCATACTATATTATGATGTTTTTGACGTCTTTAAGCCTTACTATACTTTGTCCTTTTATCCCTTACTATACTCCGATGTTTTTATGAAATTTTATGCCTTAATACACTATCATGTTTTTCACGTTTTATGCCATGCTATACTATGACGTTTTTTGACATTTTTATGCCATACTATATTATGATGTTTTTGACGTCTTTAAGCCTTACTATACTTTGTCCTTTTATCCCTTACTATACTCCGATGTTTTTATGAAATTTTATGCCTTAATACACTATCATGTTTTTCACGTTTTATGCCATGCTATACTATGACGTTTTTTGACATTTTTATGCCATACTATATTATGATGTTTTTGACGTCTTTAAGCCTTACTATACTTTGTCCTTTTATCCCTTACTATACTCCGATGTTTTTATGAAATTTTATGCCTTAATACACTATCATGTTTTTCACGTTTTATGCCATGCTATACTATGACGTTTTTTGACATTTTTATGCCATACTATATTATGATGTTTTTGACGTCTTTAAGCCTTACTATACTTTGTCCTTTTATCCCTTACTATACTCCGATGTTTTTATGAAATTTTATGCCTTAATACACTATCATGTTTTTCACGTTTTATGCCATGCTATACTATGACGTTTTTTGACATTTTTATGCCATACTATATTATGATGTTTTTGACGTCTTTAAGCCTTACTATACTTTGTCCTTTTATCCCTTACTATACTCCGATGTTTTTATGAAATTTTATGCCTTAATACACTATCATGTTTTTCACGTTTTATGCCATGCTATACTATGACGTTTTTTGACATTTTTATGCCATACTATATTATGATGTTTTTGACGTCTTTAAGCCTTACTATACTTTGTCCTTTTATCCCTTACTATACTCCGATGTTTTTATGAAATTTTATGCCTTAATACACTATCATGTTTTTCACGTTTTATGCCATGCTATACTATGACGTTTTTTGACATTTTTATGCCATACTATATTATGATGTTTTTGACGTCTTTAAGCCTTACTATACTTTGTCCTTTTATCCCTTACTATACTCCGATGTTTTTATGAAATTTTATGCCTTAATACACTATCATGTTTTTCACGTTTTATGCCATGCTATACTATGACGTTTTTTGACATTTTTATGCCATACTATATTATGATGTTTTTGACGTCTTTAAGCCTTACTATACTTTGTCCTTTTATCCCTTACCATACTACGATGCTTTTGTGAACTTTTATGCCTTAATACACTATCATGTTTTTCACGTTTTATGCCATACTATACTATGACGTTTTTTGACATTTTTATGCCATACTATATTATGATGTTTTTGGCGTCTTTAAGCCTTACTATACTTTGTCCTTTTATCCCTTACCATACTACGATGTTTTTATGAACTTTTATGCCTTAATACACTATCATGTTTTTTTGACGTTTTATGCCATACTATACTATGACGTTTTTAGACATTTTCATGCCATGCTATATTATGATGTTTTTAACGTCTTTAAGCCTAACTAGACTTTGTTGTTTTATTCCCTACAATACTATGATGTTTTAATGAACTTTTATGTCTTAATACACTATCATGTTTTTTTGACGTTTTATGCCATACTATACTATGACGTTTTTTGACATTTTTATCCCATACTATATTATGATGTTTTTGACATCTTTAAGCCTTACTATAATTTGTCCTTTTATTCCCTACAATACTATGATGTTTTAATGAACTTTTATGCCTTAATACACTATCATGTTTTTTTGACATTTTATGCCATACTATACTATGACGTTTTTTAAAATTTTTATGCCATACTATATCTTGATGTTTTTGATGTCTTCAAGCCTTACTAGACTTTGTCGCTTTATTCCCTACTATACTATGATGTTTTAATGAACTTTTATGCCTCCAATACACTATCATTGTTTTTTTTGACGTTTTATCCACTACTAATACTTATGACGTTTTTTTAAATTTTATGCCATACTATATCTTTTTTGATGTTTTTGATGTCTTCAAGCCTTACTAGACTTTGTTCGCTTTATTCCCTTACTATACTATTGATGTTTTAATGACGTTTTTATGCCCTTAATTACACTATTCCATTGTTTTTTTGACGTTTATGCCATTACGTATACTTATTGACGTTTTTGTGAACTTTATGTATGCCATACTATATTATGATGTTTTGACGTCTTTAAGCCTTACGTATACTTTGTTGTTTTATCCCTTACCATACTACGAATATTTTTATGAAACTTTAATGCCTTAATACACCATCATGTTTTTTTTGACAGTTTTAAATATAGCTACTAGTGCTATGAACGTTTGTTTTGACATTTTTATGCCATATATAGTTATGAATGTTTTTGACGTCTTTAGACCTTGACACTATATCTTGGTTGTGTTTATCCCGTTAACTAGGCTATGACTGTTTTAATTAACTTTTTGCCCTGTTAATACACTATCATGTTTTTTTGACGTGTTTATGCCATACCTATAGCTAGACGTTGTTTTTTGACATTTTTTCATGCCAAGCTATAGTTATGAGTTTTTGAGTCTTAAGCCTACTATACTTTGTTTTCCTTCTCCTTAACAATACTATCGAGATTTTAATGAGACCTTTTATGCTTAATACACCTATCATGTTTTTGTTGAATTTTATTAGCCCATACAACTATGTAACGTTTTTTTGACATTTTTTATCGCAACTATACTTATGATGTTTTTGGCCGTTTTAAGCCTTACTGATGAATTTGTCCTTTTATCGCCCTTACAATACTAGATGTTTAATGAAGGCTGTTTACTGCCTTAATACACTATCATGGTTTTTCTTTGATTTCTATGCCATACTATACTAGTGACGTTTTTTTGACAAGTTTTTACATGCCATATGTATATCTCTTAAATGTGTTTGTCGATGTCTTTCAAGCCTTACTATACTTTTCGTTTTATCCCTTACCATACTACGATGGTTTTAATTAACTTTTATGCCTTAATACACTATCAATCTCTCTCT